CTGGGTTTGAACCCACCACCTCTGGCATATGGGGCTGGCACACTACTCCTTTGAGCCACAGGCACCGCCCCAGCTGTTTTTAGAGATGAGGTCTCCCTCTGGCTTAGGCTAGTCTGGAACCCGTGAGCTCAGACAATCCACTCACCTTGGCCTCCAAGAGTGCTGGGATTACAGGTGTGAGCGACCTTGCCCCGGCCTAAGTACTATTACTGAATAGCAATTTATAAACCACTCTAAATATTAAAATCTTCAGGAGAATAAGGGAAATCTCTCCATTTAAAAGACGTCTTGTGGCCAGGCACGGTGGATCACCTGATCTCAGGAGTTCCAGACCAGCCTGAGCAAGAGTGAGACCCTGTCTCTACTAAAAATAGAAAAATTAGCCAAGGGTTGTGGCAGACAGCTTCTCAGGTGACTGAGGCAAGAAGATACCTAAGCCCACCAAGAGTTTGAGGTTGCTATGAGCTATGATGACACCAAGGCACTCTCCCCAAGGCCACAGAGTGAGACGCCATCTTTAAATAAATAAATAAATAAAACCAGACTTGGGTTGAGTGCTATTGCATCATCATAACTCACAGCAACTTCAAACTCCTGGGTTCAAGTGATCCTCCTGCCTTTAGCCTCCCATGTAGCTGGTAGTACAGGTGCCCGCCACAACCCCCAGCTAGTTTTTCTATTTTTAGTAGAGACAGGGTCTCACTCCTACTCAGGCTGGTCTCAAACTTCGGAGCTCAAGGTATCCTCCCACCTGGACCTCCTAGAGTGCTAGGATTACAGGCATGAGCCACTGTACCCAGCTGAACCTGTGTTTTCTTATTTTTATCCACCAATCACATAAACAATTAAGTTTCTTTCCCAAAATAACTAAGTCCCTGCTTAGTTTATCATCTTATGAAACTGTGGAGAATCAAGTCTCATGAAGAGAGTGTCATGTTCTTCAAAGTATTTCTTCATGTCCAAAGCAGTCTGTATTCTACTGGTATCAGCAAGTCTGTAGCTCTAGTGTGAGAATGCTCAGGAACACCAGTCACAGAAGAGTTTCCCTTTGTTTCACACTCCCAATTCTGCTACCATTCTATATTTCCCTTGCTGATCATTCTTCTGAAACAAAAATCCCATCCTGCTGGTGAAGTTTCACTGAAGATAAAGAATTAAAAAAAAAAAGAAGAAATATAAAACACTGACTAATGAAAGACTGTAGGTCTGAGGGAAAGGGAGGAAGGAGGAGGAATAGCAAGCTTTCACCTAATGCATACGTAAGATGTAAAGGTATATAGCATATGCCCTGGGTGAAGGACTCAACTACAATTTCAACTTTACCTAACAAATACAAACAATGTAACCTAATCATTTGTATTCTCATATTAATCTGAAGTAAAGAAACTATTCAATAAGGGTCAAAAATATAGATTCAATTAAAAAAATTTATAGGCCAGGCAGTGTCTCATGCCTGTATCCTAGAACTCTAGAAGGCTGAGGCAGGAGGATCACTTGAGGTCAGGAATTTGAGAACAGCCTAAGCAAGAGCAAGATGTGATCTGTGCTATCAATAAAAGAATTAGCCAGGTGTGGCAGCACATGCGTGTAAGGTACTTGATAGGTAAGCTGAGGCAAGAGGATCTCTTGAGCCCAGGAGTGTGACAATGCAATGAGTTATGATGAAACCACTGCACTCTACTCAGGGCAACAGAGGGAGACTCTGTCTCAAACAAACAAAAAAAAAAAATGCAAACAACAATAAGAAGAAACAAAGCAGGCAAAAGATGTAAAGATATTTTTCTCAGCAGCTAAGACACCAGCCACATACACCAGAGCTGACAGGTTCAAATCCAGCCCAGGCTTGCCAAACGACGACAACTGCAACCAAAAAAATAGCCAGTGTTGTGGCAGGGGTCTGCAGTCCCAGTTACTTGGGAAGCTGAGGCAAGAGAATCGCTTAAGACCAAGAGTTGCTGTGAGCTGTGACGCCATAGCACTCCATCGAAGGCAACATAGTGAAACTCTATCTCAAAAAACAAACAAAAGATATTTTTCAAAAAGAGTAGAACAGGCTCGGCGCCTGTGGCTCAAG